TCGTCAGATTGTGCTGTTTGGAGATAAACTACCACAAATTTTAATTCCTTTATCTGTTTCTTGTCTTCCTGCAGCCCATCAGCAATGCAGACTTCATTGTTCCAGTGGAGATTGATGGGACTGTTCATCAGGTACAGTTGCACTGATACGGAGGACTTCCAGAAGTGGGCTTGAATAAAATAATATGTATTCATTTATAAGATCTCCCTTGGAAGCTGTAGCTCCATTTTCTGTCCTTTAGTATTCATTATTCTCTATTATTTCACAGCTACGTCAAAGTGGGGCAGCACATACACTCCTCCCTGAATTTAGTGCTTTCTGTTTTATTCTCTGTGTCTCTGCTCGCTGTAAAGACAGACGGGCTGCGATGTGCCTGTGTCACCAGGTAAACAAAAGTCACAAAGCGCGTTGAAGATAATCTTGAGCGTGCAGCAGAAGAGATGCTTCACCGATTGGAAATGTGTGCGTTTGAGAGAGAGAAAATAATGACTGCAGAAGAGGAAGAGACTGAGGTTCAAACCTGCATTGTGGCGAGGCATGTGCTTCTGTTTGTATATTATACTGATGTTAAAGGTTCACTTTCTGTTCTGTTTGAAGAAGAAGCAGCTATACTGTAGCTGTAACCGGGTTCAAGTAATCCAGGATAGGCTTTCTGTATCTGTATTGGCCTATGCTTGATTACTTGCACTTGGGGGCAGCAACTATCCCAGGGAGGCCGACTGAAGAGGACAAAGACGAGCAGAAATGGCAAATGTCTGTTGTTGTTGTTGTTGTTGTGAAGGGCTGGGTACAAAACTAATTTTTTCATCCAATAAAGAAAGCTTTAGTTGTCAAATCTTAAATATTGTTATAACAAACCCTTCAGGACCATTATCTAAATAGTCTAAAAATCAGGAACTGTGTACACTCCCCTGCCAGATACTTGTGTGTCTATTATTAGCTTCAAACATGGACATATTGCACATTTTCTTATTCAGGGTAACCTATAAAAAGTTGTTACAAAATGCATTTAATTAGAACTCTAAAGGTATCGCTCAATATAGAATAGTAATTCAACTAATCAGTGACAACAGACAGCAGCTATAAGCTTACAGCTAAGTAATAAATAACTCTTACAACAGATGTTCATTTAAAGTAACTGTCTAAGTTCATAAGGGTCAAAATATAAAATGTAATTAGTAAAAAGATTTTATCAATAGATAACAGGTGCTGAAATCTTTATAGCCTCTTCCCTTATTAAGTACACTGGGACACCGTAAAACTTTTTTTATGCGCACAGGATAACCATAACAACACACAAGGATGAGTTACAATCATAGACTGTATTAAATAGGTTTCTGAAGAGCTCAACCGTGTGGTGGCTCAGGCCGTCGCCCTCTTGTGTGGACAGAGCGGCGTCAGGCCGAATGAAAGCCTATTTCCTGAAAACAGCGTCTGTGACAGCTTCCACCTGTCACTCAAAGCAGCTATTCCCTTAATTATGCATGATTTTAAGCCTTGATATAATTTTAACAGGTGAGTTATATAAAAACTCCCCACCCTGTAAGTTATCATGAACGGAAAATGTAGCTATAAAGATTAAAACCGTTTTTGTAACAGGCTGTAAACCATTTGACCATAAGTTCACTTAAACAGTGGCTGGGTGCTGGCGTCCCACTGAGACTAATAATCTTACCGGACATTTGACGGCAGACCTCTTTACATGGTGCCTGTGTGTCCGTTTGTAAAAAGCAAACTTTACAGGTGTGTATATGTTTGTGTGTTTGTTTCAGGTGTATGTGCTGAAGAGGCCCCATGTGGATGAGTTCCTCCAGAAGATGGGGGAGCTCTTTGAATGTGTCCTCTTCACAGCGAGCTTAGCCAAGGTTCGTTCATACGTTGGAGTGCACAGACAGCGGTCACAGTAATGTTGCTTTGCACAGACTGTGTTAACCTGATGTGTTTTTTTGGGGGTTTGTTCAGTATGCTGACCCTGTGGCAGACCTGCTGGACCAGTGGGGGGTGTTTCGCTCCCGGCTCTTCAGGGAATCCTGTGTTTTCCACAGAGGAAACTATGTCAAAGACCTCAGCCGGCTGGGCCGAGAGCTCAGTAAAGTCATCATCATAGACAACTCACCTGCCTCCTACATCTTCCACCCTGAGAATGCAGTGAGTCAGTCCCCTGCTTGAAGTTAAAGAGTAGGAAGTTTAGTGATTAGTTAGTGGCATCCTGATAATACTGATAATGCAGAAGATATCAGAGAAGGCTGTTAGCAAATGATGAGCCCTTTTGACCCAGGTTTACTTACTTACTGGTTTGAAATCACACTGGAGTGGCAAAAATGACAGGAGTTTAACTTAACTTTGAGGTAACCTGGAAAAGCTGAGAGAGGGATTAAAATACACCGGTACAACAGAAATAAGTTAGTTATAGAGTTAATAATGATGGTAAATGATTATATCTGCGAGACATTGTCATTTTTAATCTGCACTGTTGTCTTAGAAACAGCGTTGAGCCTGAGGCAGTGTTCCCAGTTTTATGAGATTTCTCTCCTCCGTGGAGAAGTTTCTCAGCGGAGCTGCTGCCACTCTTCACGCCTTTGATGCATTTCCCCCCATTAATTATTTACACGAAGCTCGCACCATCTCCTCACCTATAATGCAACACTGACAGCCGAGTTTTCTCCCCTGATCAAAGAGATTCAATTGGACTCTTCCGCCCTCTCTCTCTGTTCCTTCCCTCCACAGGTCCCGGTGCAGTCCTGGTTTGACGACATGACGGACACGGAGCTGCTGGACCTGATTCCTCTGTTCGAGGGTCTCAGTAAGGAGGAGGACGTTTACAGTCTGTTACAGAGCCTGAGGAACAGGTAGCAGACGGCAGCTCCAGCTGGTTCTTCCTGCCACGGCCCCGCTGCCCATCTCCCGTCCTCCTTAGAGTCCCAGCGTGGCCCCTAATCTGAGGACCATAGGCTATTGTTCCGGTCATAATGAAATCTAGAGACAACAACTGTATGGATTCTTACCATCTCTGCGTTTTTGGACTCTTTGTACAGGACTCCTACTGACAAAAGATTATATTACTGTATGTACATACTATATGTTTCTAAGAGCAAGACATACATAAAGTAATTTTTCTATCAGAGAAAGGAGGTTTTACTATTCTATCAAGTAATATTTTAGTTACCAAAAATAATCGAATAGACAGAACGAAGAGTTTTTTTCTTTTTTCAAGAATGGTTGACCTTTTGTTGTTTTTTTTTTTGTTTTTTTGTGTAGAGCTGTGCTATGCAGGCTGTTGTTTCTCGTCTGACCTTTTGTTCAAACAACTGTGATTTATCTTCTCTTACAGAATGAAGTGCCTTCATTACTGTGCTGATTTTGTTGTGTCAGGTTATGGGGTGCACATTTTTATGCTGCATATTTACTCAAATCTCCAAAAGCATATTAACTAAAATCCTTAAATTCAAGTATAAACTGAGTCTTTGGTAATTGTCATTTAATCTGAGAAAACAGAAAATAATACATTTCTAGAAATGTATCCAACTAGCCTGTTAGACCTGAATGATTCTTTGCGTTTGAGTTTAGTAACATTGAATTGTTAAATTTACCAAATATGTTTACAATTCAATGTGATTTGTGGCTGAATGACGTCATTTGATCTTTGACAGTGGCTGTAAATTGATAATCCTTAAAGACATTGAAACCCCCCACGTTATTATTGAAGAAAAAAAAGAAACCTTTGTGATGACATCACCGTCCACCAATAAATGTTAAACTTTTGAGGAAAACATAATAATTAGCTTAGATTACATGAAATTCTATTTATTGGGGAAAATGGGTTTGGGTGCATTGTAAAGACTGCTGTTGAAATCGTACTGTACAACATTATTAAAGTTGCAAGTTTGCACACTGTCAGTTTGTACCATGGTTTCATGACTTTGACAAACCCACAAAGACGCTGCAGTTGATCTCAGATGCTTTAAGTGAAAATGCTAGAATAAACCGAACAGTTAGCTACTTGCTGGTGAACACAGTAGAGCATTTAGCAGCCAAAGAGCCAAGTATTTTCCCTGTGGAGTGAGTGGAGACCAAAAACAGAGCTAAAAACTTGCACTTAGTTTCATCAGATGGCCAGAAACACGACTTCAAGCAACAGTTTGCCAGCAAGTACTCAATGTTGTGTTCGCAGCTTGTTTACGTTGCCCCCTAGTGGCTAGAAAATCAGATACATGTTCAAGTGATAAGAGCTTTTTTTTACTTTAAATTCTCATAAGACTCAGATTTCATTTTTGACCTTGGAAACAGAAATGACACTCACTCATGAGATCCATTTAGTATCTGGAGTTTTCTATCATAACACATGATCTTTCTCAGCATGGAATAGTTATTTTTTAATATATAAATTGGTTTTTATTGCCTTTATTGATAGGACAGCTGACAATTTGAACATTGATAGGAAAGGTGGGGGGGGGGACATACAGAAACGGGCCACAGTTCAGACTTGAACCCATAGGCGCTGCAGCAAGGAGCTTGCCCCGGGCGCATGGGGCTCCAGATCCACCAGGTGAGCCACCAGGGCGCCCCAGAAATATTGTTTTAAGGTTTTAAAGTTATTAGTCCTGCTTTTGTTTTTTCATCACTATTATTTAAGTTATGAGTAGGTTTGAAGGACGAAACTGAAATATAATGGCATCGCTGACCCGTGTCAGTGTTTTCCTATAATTAATCATTCACACTTGGAAAAATGGAACCAAAAGAGCAATTTCTTTCTGTAGTCTACAATTTAAAAGTATGATGTGTTTTATTATACATTGTATTTAAGGACATTTTAATCATGAAAGATTAGAGTTCTTCACTGATTTCTTCGACAAAGGCTCACGCTCCATTGTCTGCAGGGTTAAATGATCTGCAGGTGCATTAATAATATGGATATGCACTGGTTAATGTGCAACCAAGAGGAGCTTAACTTCATGTGATATCTTGATGTGAACTTTTAGCTTCCGCTTACGTAGCAGCCACTTTAACTGCAGCAGTGGATTAGGCATTACAGAGCCTCTTGTTCAAGCCTCAAGAGCTCTTGTATTTTTTCACGTTTTTTTCATTTTCCACTTGCATAGCCGACTATGTGGGGACTGAAGTTCACCACGTTGTTGAAATGATCATATTTTCATAATGGAGTCCTGGATGAAATCTGAAAATGAGAAACCATGGTCAAAGGTAAGAAAACTTAAGCCCGTTGATTCAAAGCTGTTGGTTAACAAGAAAACCAGGTTAGTTATGTAACAATGTGTTTTCAGATCTCCCTGACAGGGATTGTGTGAACTATATAAGACAAAGACATCTGAAGAGTGTAATAGATGTATCCCTGAACAGAAAACAGCAGGGAGCCTTATTCATGATTCATGCACTGACTTCAACATGCAGCAAAAGAAATGTACAGATTGTTCACACAGTTTGTTGGTGGGGAAATATTAATAGAGCCTTACATTTTTGATCCGTCAGCTTCAAGGTTGTCCTTAGCTGCAGCTCACCCACAAATTATTTCTGTTGTGTCTTTACATACAATTCAGTGTTTGACTATGGATCAACATCCAAAGACTCATCCTATTACTTCAAAAAGTGTGCAAATCACTTTGGTTGCAGCGTGTTAATGCATCTCCACATTTAGCAAACAAATGTAAACACCAGCTGCCAATGTCTTCCCTGTTGGGAGATCAACGCCCAGAGCTGTAAACCTTCAATAATGTCAAGCGTTCCTTTCCTGAGTGTCTGCGCGAGAAGGCACAGAATGAGAGATTTAGCCACAGAAAGCCTCTGATTCCTTTCCAATACCACTTGGAGCTCCTTGAGTCCAATTCCCCCATCTGCTAGTTGTAACAGTTGTGAAATGAATAATTGGTGTCAAGTGGCCCCTGTAATGCCCGCTGTGCTGCTGAGGGCTCAGTCGAACATAAACACAACTCCAGCTAAAGCACAATCAGGACCTCAAGTGAGGCTTGAGTCCATCTCAATCCAGGTACTGTAGATGATTTTGTCAAGGATCCTTTAATGTGTCACCTGTCTGCCTTCATTCATCCTTAAAACGAGCCAGAAACTCAACATTAAAAACACCTTTTCTCTCTGAGGGGACCTAGGACAATCTAAGACCAGGCGTATTTAAGGTCATTGTAGTGTAAACATCGAGACAGGAAATTGCAGGTGTGTTCAGACCTGGGTGTGGAGACAAATACACCCAGCCCTCTCAGCCACACACACTCCAGCTCGCACAGAGGAGGTAAAGCCAGCGATATTACATTGTACAAAGACAACATCTCACTAATCTACCTCCACAACTTGTAGGAGACATCCAGGCCTTCATTTCGCCAGACACAACAAAAGGTAAGATCCATATTTTCTATTTTTTATGACATATTTCATTAGTATATTTTCAGTGTTTTTGAACATCTCTCTACTTTTTTTTTCCTGTATCTGAATCACTGCAGTTTTTAAAGAACATCTTTATTTGTTTCTTTTTCTATAATTGTTAAATAGATTCTTTAAAACTTCATGTGGGGTTTTTAAACCTACATCATTTCATGTTAAATGGAGATGAACACATTAGGATGCATTTAGAGCATTAACAAAGCTCATTGTGTGTGCTGAATCAATGGACACCGCAGGTTAATTGAAGTGGAACCAGTCTTTCCTGTCACAGTAATGGAAGCAACGCTGGTCATGAAGTTATCTTTTCAGAAATTTGTTTGTTTGAATTTGTCATTTATTTTGTGCGGGATCAGGTTGCAGAGCACAATGGTTGTTTTTCCACATGCAACAGGGAGTTGAAGGAGGAAGCCTTCTATAACAGGCAGTGAGAAACGCTATTTAGTCAAGTAATCAAGTCAAATAAATACAATAAATCGATTAAAGAGAAGTTCAGGAGAGGAGAGAGATACTCATTCTCTTCTCCACCCAGAATTTTCAAAGTTTATGTAGGTAATTGATAATAAACTCCTTTAAACGGTTTTATTATAACAAATAAATCTGATTGTTTTGATTAAATGTCTTGTTTTACAGATAGTTATTTATATAGTCATACACTATCAAATATTACACGCATACTGAGAGTTATTTTAGTTACAGTTTGATATGTGGAGTCACCATAGGTGTGGCCTCTCCTTGGCCCAGATGACAAATCAAAGTTTGTGAATGGGCAATATATGTGTATATGTTTTTTTTTTTAAGTAATAATCAGCATCATAATTTGGAAAATGTAACATCTCCCAAGTTTGTGATGTAATTGCTGTTATCATTTGAGTAATTATTTGTTTAATGGGTACAGTATTACAATAAGCATTACCATTTGATATGTCGTACCAGAGTTAGCATAAAGCTAATTTTCCCCAGCAGTTGGCAGGTCACAATTAAATCATACAGGAAAGGATACATAATATAAAATTATATATAATACAATATTATAACAGTGTATCAATATGTCAGCAATAAATGTATGTTAGACAAATAGGATATAAGGATATTTGTATATAAAGTAAAAAGGCAATGATTTCAGAGTTGGGCAGCTTGTAGCAGACGTCTCAGTTTAACTTTCAAGTAACTTTTCCTCTTACAAATTAAAATTCAAAGGCAACAAAACGGCCACTTTCTCGGTTCAATACACTCAAGAGTTAAGCTGCTGCAACCACACTTGGTCTGGTATTAATGTTGTTAGAAAACTTAAGATACATATGGCTGTTAATGTAAGTTGAGTTGATTTTATGAATTACTCTTTACTTACTTACTTACACAGTGGTTAAGAATTCACTATTATGCCATAAGTGTTCATTTTTCACAGCTGCTGTTAATTTAAAGTCACATAATCTTGTTTTAAAGCTCTCTGTAGAACTGCAGCTCTTTGCGTATTATATTACACCTAATATATAGTGAAATTATTCCAGGATGAATACCATTCAGTATTTCTTTCCCTCTCAGTCCTCCTCAGACTTACTCACTAAAAGCCACATGAAGTAGGACTTTGCAACTTTAGCCAAGCCCTATCATTTTATTTAAATCTCAACCCTTTTTGTTCTGTTTGCTTTGTATGTGTCACCTCTTTATCTGATCACCTGAATACCAGAACCTTGATAGTTTTAATAAAGGGTGTGGTTAACATCCTGGTATGGTACAAGTGACCTGATCTAGCTCACCTCACCTTACACCACCCACTCCATCAATCACTGCCCAGCGAGACATTTTATTCCTACACCCGGAGCAAAGCTTACTGTGAAATATAGCAGGGCTATTTCCCCGGAGAATAACGGCAACCACAGCTCCTGCAGCTATTTGACAATCATATCATGTATGCATGTATCCTATATTTGCATTCATGATGGCAGCATAACATCCCACCAAGCATGTTTCCATACAGCATGTCATCACTAAGCCTATATTCTTGGCACAGCTGGTGATACAGTGTGTTTGCTTATCAGTGCTGTTGTTTCTGACATCTGAGTCAAGAGGCAGTTTAAGCGCCGCTGATTGCAGAACTTGTATGTTGCTATGGCGCCAAGCTGACACTCATTAGGGGGATTAGAGGTGTTTCGCTGTCAGAGATCCAATCTTTTGAAATGGTTCACTTGTCGTGTTAGAGACATCTGTTTCCAGTGAAAAGATGAACAGGGAACTTGTGAGGCTGAGCGATGATGAGGAGGAGGAGGCTTTAAAAATGTGTTTGTATGTTCAAGTACTTTGGAGTTACAATTGAATATGTGTTTTCCAATGTGCTATTTATGTTCTAACACTTATTTAATATCGTTAGATCATGAGCAGCAGTGGAAGAAACATTCAAATCTTCTGCAGCTTCCCGTCAGCTCATTTTAGTGTTTTCCAGCTCTTTGTTTTGGTTTTATTGCAGGAGGTTGTTGTTTTGTTTTTTTTTAGCAAAAATGCTAAAACTAACTATACAGTACCTGCCCAGACAAAGTTATACTTAAAAACTTAAGAGCCAGATATTTCCCACAGGAGTTGGTGGAGCCCAAAAACGGATCTAAAAGACAGAAAAGATTGGACTTACATTTATTAAGCGGCCAGAAACACGACTCCAAATGAAGGCTAATGTTGCTCTTTATCTGCTGGATGTTTAAACAAGAAACTGTTTGCTAAGTTCACCATGTAAACTTTATAATATATGTTGTAATATATATAAATGTTATTGTTCATGGCTTGTTTTTTTCCTTAACACCTGAAAAACAAATCAGTTATTTTATGTTTAAATACAAATGTGTAACTATGTAAAAAGTCCTGCATTTAAATTCCTATGAAAGAAAACCTCTGCTTGTCATTGCAGGAATAAGAGCATAAATCAAAATCTGTACATATATCTATATTTCTTTACACAAAGCATATGATGAACTGCTTGCAATGCAAATTAAAAACAGCGATAAATCTCAGTTTCTTGCCTTACATTGTTTCAGTTCAGCAGAATGATGAGTGATGACAGTCCAGACGCGTTCAGAAGTGTCAGCCGAAAAGCAGGCCTGCAGATATGGACCATCAATGTAAGTCCTATCCTCACATTACTGTGGTCACACTGCTCTACTTTAAGTAGGGTGTGGCGTGCTGAATTCTTGTTTTTGTGTCGGATTTCACAATATTTCACATGTTTTTGTTTTCTTATTCAGAACATGCAGATGGTGCCTGTTTCGTCCCAAGGCTTTGGTAACTTCTTTGAGGGAGACTGTTACATTGTTCTTTATGTGAGTACAATACTGGCTGATTTCCCAAGAGGCTACAGCATTAATTAAGGAATGTGCAAGTGTGGGTCTTCAATAATTCTGTTTTTTTCACCAGATAAGTGAGAATAAGGGCTCAGGCCAGTCAACAGACGTCCACTTCTGGATAGGAAACGCCTCCTCTCAGGATGAGCAAGGTGCAGCAGCCATCTTTGTCACCCAGCTGGACGAGTACCTGGGTGGGAGTCCAGTCCAGCACAGGGAGGTGCAGGGCAACGAGTCGCCTCGGTTCAGGAGCTACTTCAAAAATGGCCTCATGTAAGTCAATGAAAGGGGCTGGTATGTGAACTCAAAGAGGGTGGTGACCAAATAAAGAGAAGGAGTCACACACACACACTTATGCTGTAATCTTCCTGAGACATTGCTTACAACAGTAAATCTTTGCATGAAATCATTATGACACAAATGACACTTGTTTTGTTGAATAAAACAGTTTTCTCTCGCCCAGTTCATTAACATTTGTCTTTTCATTGTGTTTTTGCTTCATGGCTTTAGGACATTGAGGTACATTTTCAAAATGAACAAAACATGACATGATTTCAGCTGTTTTTGCGTTCATCCTGCTTCCAGTCTGGTTTTATTACACATGAACTTTGGTAATGTACACTGATCTCTCCGCAGCTACAAGAAGGGTGGAGTGGCCTCAGGTTTTCACCACGTTGACACAAACGTCTACAATGTCCTGCGACTGCTGCACGTCAAAGGGAGGAAGCATGTCACGGCGAGAGAGGTATGCAGAGTGGAATATAAAGTGGCTGTGTCAGGGATTATTGCTGCCTGCCCAGTACCTCCCACTGGAGCTATCACAGGCTTCACACAGCCACACTACGAGGGGTGTTGGCACTCCCTCTTAAACAAATAATGGCGTGCTTGTTGTCATAGCTGTCAAAGTAGGTGCTAATTGCCTGAGGAGTGCAATGACTGTGTTGTGTTTAATTAATATTTCACTATGTTAACATCATTTGTTTCTCAGAATGCTTTTTTAATTGGTTTTACGACAGCTCATACTGTACATTTGAATAAAGGGAAAGTATCTGATAAGCCTCCATCACTCCATGTGCAGGTTGAGGTGTCATGGAACAGCTTTAACAATGGAGATATATTTCTGCTGGACATGGGGAAAGCCATAGTGCAGTGGAACGGCCCTCAGAGCAACAGGAGAGAGAAGCTCAAGGTAATCCTCCACTCTGATTGGTCTGATGTCAAATGCTGTTAAGTTTAACATATTTATTTAGAATAAATATAAAGTGTTAAAAAGGGGGAAATAATTTAATGATCTGTTATGGCAGCATTGTAGACAAAGTTAGGCCTTAAGTACAATGGAAAAAGGTCTGAACAATTTATTGATTTCTAGTTGATTTAGTTAAAATATCTTAATTTAGGGGCTTTTCCAAGTAAATATTGATATGTGATTATTTGCCATCAAATCAGCATATATTTCTACCACCCCCTTAAAGTCTCCATGCCACCCTCTGGTTATACCATGAATTTATCTGCTCCTGAAAGTATCAACAACAAAAAACAGTTAAAGTATGAAAATGTAAGCATTCTGCAGTTGAAGATGGTTGAAGTGGAGAAAAGGTTAAAATCTTTTTTGTAGCATTAATAAAAAAAAGGTGCAAATAATCAGGGCCGTGGTACTTATACCACTGCAAAGGTCATATGTGTCCATGTAAAAAATAATTACAGAAAAAGACAATTTGATTAATATGAAAAACTTAATGTTTAATTTAGATTTTCTTCTATGTGTGTTACTAACCTAATGCAATAACAATTCCTACCAAATAAAATCAGGGAAATTGAAAACACCATCGTATGCGCAAGTAGGGACAGAATATATATTAATTGCCCTTGCAGGTATAAAAAAAGTTACGTTTTAATTGAATTGAAGAATCTTGATGTAGCTCTATATATACAGCATTTGATTGTCAAGTGTCGAAATATATGTGCAAAAGGGAAATAAGTTAGTTGAAGGTTGTGACAGAGGCTATCATTATCTACTTGTTTAATCTGTCTTAAATTTAAATTATAGATTATTTCTCTGTCATAGCAATAAATGGTTTCAAGGTATTCAAGTTTGGGTAATGATCTTCACTGTAGAAGATATGAAGTTAAATATTAAGCTCCTCTCCTCTCCTTCCCTTTCTTCCGTTGTTTGCAGGCGGTCTTGTTGGCTCAGGACATCCGGGACAGGGAGAGAGGAGGTCGAGCTCAGATTGGTATCGTGGAGGGAGGAGATGAGCGGGACTCCCCGGAGCTGATGAAAGTCATGATGGCGGTACTCGGTCAGAGAAGCGGGCAGCTGAAGGAGGCCACACCTGATGACAAACCTGACCAGGTGCAGAACAACAACGTCAGACTCTACCAGTAAGGGCTTGATCTACATCTGTTGCATCATTGACACAACATGTTGGGAATGTTCTAATAAAATCAAACACTGTTTTTTCTTTGTGTTTCTCCTCAGCGTGTTTGAAAACAGTGGGAACCTGGTGGTTCAAGAAGTGGCCACGCAGCCTCTAACGCAAGACCTGCTGCACTCTTCTGTAATCCTTCCAAACATGTTCCTTAGACACAGTTATTGTAGAAGATGAGACCTGTCTCATTGCTCATTGTTTCTTCTTTCTCACACTGCCAGGACTGTTACATCGCGGACCAGAGAGGCTCCAGTGTGATGGTGTGGAAAGGAAAGCAGGCCTCCAAGGAGGAGCGGCGAGAAGCTCTCAACAGGGCAGTGGTGAGTTCACTAAATAACTACTATTCTATGTACACTCCTATATATCAGAAGTACTTGAACCCAAGATAAAGCTCTTTTTTTATTCTATAATTATTCAATATTACAGCTGCCAGGGTCACCGAGTTAAATAGTAATAATTTCTCAAAGTCATGAAAAAGATACTCCACTCCTCTTTTCTACCAGGGCTATATCAAAGCGAAGAACTACCCAGCCAACACCAGTGTGGAGGTGATGACCGAGGGAGGAGAGTCGGCAATGTTTAAGCACTTGTTCAAATCCTGGAGAGATAAAGGGCAAACTCAAGGCCTTGGTACCACCTACAGTCCGGGAAAGATAGGTAACCTCTGCATAACCTTTAATTCATTACAATCTGGGTCAGATACAATAGCTGTGGAAGTAGATTTTCTAATCCACTAAAGACATTTTGTGCACACATAGTGGCTAGCAGGTGGAAATTAAGATTGTTGTGGTATTAATGAATATGATCGTGGTCAGCTATATGGAGACCCAAAGTGTGCAATGTTAGGTGCATAAATAAGATGTTGTGAAATCAATAATTATGACTATATACAGATGGGTTGTGACAATAAAAGAGCTGATTGTAGGTCATTTTTATTTCATTTCAGCTGTTTTTATTTCAGGAATAGATGATACATTTTGTTTGTATATAATTATTTATTTCTAATGCTCCACACAGCAAAGGTAGACCAAGTGAAGTTTGATGTGATGGAGCTCCACGCTCGTCCCGAACTGGCAGCACAGCAGCGCATGGTGGACGACGCCTCTGGAGATGTTAAGGTGAGGAAAAAGATGTAGAAACATTGTCTAACACAACGTGAATGGACCTCTAACTTCAGTGACAGTTGTATAATCTGTTTCGTGAGTGGAAGAATGCTGAAACATTTTGTTGTCCGTGTCAGGTGTGGCGTATTGAGAACTTGGAGCTGGCCGAAGTAAATCCAAGTACTTATGGACAGTTTTATGGAGGAGACTGCTACTTGGTGCTGTACACATATCAAAGATCAGGCCAGCAGCAGTACATACTCTACATGTGGCAGGTCAGTATGGTTACAGAAGGAATATTTTCCTTGTTTTATTTCTCTTTCTGATAAATTAAAAACAACAGCTTTAACTTGATCTTATTGTCCGTCTTACACCAGGGCCGTCATGCCACTAAAGATGAGATCACAGCTTGCGCCTACCAGGCCGTCAATATAGATAACAAGTACAATGGAGCCCCGGTCCAGGTTAGGGTGGTCATGGGAAAGGAACCCCGCCACTTCCTGGCTATTTTCAAAGGCAAACTCATCATTTTTGAGGTTCGATTTCTTTCACTTTTCCTTTATTACAAAATGCTCAGATACAACAAAGGTCCATATCTTGTTTGTGTGTGCAATAGCAGTGGAAAGATGGAGGAATTATTATTGCAATACAATATTTATTTCTCAAGGGAAAAGTACTGCATAAGACAAAACTCATAAAGACTTTAATCTTACATTGTCAGAATAATGCACATACAAACTACAATTAAAAGAAAAGCAAAGATGGTAAAGACCTGAATCTTTTTGCATATTTGTGCATTTCAATTGTGAATTTTATGTGTATTTATGTGTGTATGCATCTTTAGGGTGGTACAGGCCGACCTGGCGTGGTCAACCCTGACGGAGGTGCCCGGCTCTTCCAGGTCAGAGGGACTAATGAGCTGAACACCAAGGCCACTGAGTTGCAGGCGAGGGCCTCGTCTCTGAACACCAACGATGTTTTCCTGCTGAAGACGGACCAAATATGCTACCTGTGGTATGGGAAGGTATGTGTTTTGCAAAAGCCTCATATGAACTCTACTTTAAAGAATAAAAAAAGTAAATTTGTGTTTGTGCGTTGTTCATTTTCACACAAGTCTGTGTTTGTTTGATGTCTGCCTCTGTCGGTCTCCAGGGCTGCAGCGGGGATGAGAGGGTGATGGGGAGAGCGATGTCTGATGTGCTGTCCAAGCAGGACAAGCAGGTGGTGATGGAGGGCCAAGAGCCAGCTGAATTCTGGGTAGCTCTGGGAGGAAAGGCTCCCTATGCCAGTGACAAGAGGTAAACACAGACAGCAGCAACATCACACCTTTAAATTAGGCCTTTTTCTGGTGACATTATCATAAGAGAAATCTGTGGCTGGTTGGGTTTCTTGCTCAATGACACTTCATCAGCCACATATTAACGAATATGAGCATTCAATATTTTCTTTTGAGTAAAAAATAAATAATCACAATGACCTATAAACAAGGACTAAAACCAAAACTCATCCAAAATGCTCTTTAATTATATTTTGAAACATTAATGAGCTTAAATTTAAATCTGCATGGATTATATTTATATCAAGGACAGTCCAATATTCCCAATGTCATCTGAAGCCAATGAAATACAGTCTGCACACCCCCCTCCCTAAACACACACACACATACACACACACACACAGCAGATTATACAGTTGTAATGGCAGCGAGCTCTGTGTTGTTTCAGACTGCAGAGGGAGGAGCCTCCTCACAGTCCCCGGCTGTTTGAATGCTCCAATCAGACCGGCCAGTTTAAGATGACAGAGGTGGACGACTTCGCCCAGATCGACCTGGACGAGGAGGACGTCATGCTGCTGGACACCTGGGAGGAGGTGAGAGGTCAAAGGAGCTGAAATCAGCCAGACTTTAGGTAGATGTCTGTAGGTGTAGAAATGCATCCTCTGGCTGGAAAGAAATAACAAGCTGTGAAATAAAGGATTCATTTTCTTGTTGAGGTGTATTGAAAAGAAAAATGGAAAGAAAGTATTAATAAACTAAAAAGGCAAAATTTTTCTGAAGAAAATGCTCGGCTTACATGGAAAATCAAGTGCAACCACTGTTCATTGTTTCTATGTGAGAGGTTGTGTGGGAGGGACAGTACAGGTTGAATCACTTAAAGAAATTAGTTTGACATTTGCTGAGAGTTTGCTGAGACGACTGATACCACTCTCATATATTCAGTAAATATAAATCTACAGTCAGCAGCCAGCAAGCTTCATGTTAGCGTAAAGACTCTAAGCTAAGCTAACCTGCCTCTGTCCAACCCCCAGCAAATTGTTGTTGTTTTTTTCGCATTTTGATTTTTGTATGCATGAAATAAACTAACTTGTTAATTAGTGTGCTTTGGAGTTGCTTGTTAACCTTTGGACTGAGCCAGGCAAGCTGCTTTCAGTCTGTGTGCTAAGCTAAGCTAACTGCCACCTTATGAGGACATTTCTGTCAACAATTGAGTTCTAAAAACTTTAATTTGCATTGCAGTGAGGATGTTTTAACTTGTTTTTAATTTAAACCTTGTTTAAAAAAACTTATAGAAATGAGTCTGTATGTTGAAACAAGACAAAAATAAGTGACTAGAATAATAAAAAAAGACTTAAGATAAGAGGAAGTTTATTTCAGTGAACAACGCATCATGT